CTCTCCGGAGGCGCCTTCTTTAAGATATCCGTGCCGGTTGATCACTTTTGAATCCTACTCAGCTCGGTAGCAAGCGGGCTTGACATCTGAGAATCCGGTCAGTTTTAGGCGATCAATCTTGAGAACCTGTTTGTATATTCATTTATTATATATTTTTGGCTCCTCGATTATTGGGCCGTATTTCGTTTATCATTTAATTAATCAGAGGCAAATTGAGTATCAACAAGGTAGACAAAGGCAAGTGATCGAATATACAAGGTTTCGTCAGGACAGAGATTTTATGTGGTTGATTTGGTAAAAAAGGTTTGTAGTTGCAATCGGTTCCAAATGGATGAACTTCCATGTCCGCATGCTCTTTCTGTTTTACGAGGTAATAACGAGGACCCACTCCCATATTGTTCGTGGTATTATCGTAAAGAAAGCATGTTGGCTACATATGAAGAAACAGTCTTCCCTGTTGAAGGTGACATACTAGAAAAAGATTCCGCTGAGATGTCACCAAACATTGTACTACCGCCATTTGGTAAATCAAAGTCTGGGAGGCGAAGAAAGAAGAGACTTATTTCGGGGTGGGAGTACAGAAGGAAGACTCGATGCGGAAAATGTGGCCAGAAGGGGCATAATGTTAAAACCTGTCATAATCCACCCATGATGTGAATGTGAACATTCATTTCGAAGAAAAGCTAGAAACGTTTAGCTCATTGATACTTGATTGAGGAACACATGTTTAAGTATATTTTCTTAAATTCCAATATTTCTTGAAGGTTTTCTACTGTTCTGTATCGTTTCTTNTTAAAATAAACTTTCACTCCTTTAAGTGAAAATTTATCCTTCCACTAATGTATTCGACTTTGAAATTTAGTCACACTAATGTAATTAGTCACAAATAATAGTACAGAAGCCACTAGCATTTCAAACCTTTCTTTTCCATATCAAAAGAACTAAAGCACCTAAAGTGATGGAGAAACTTCAACAGAGTTTAGAAGGCTGATTAGCAAAATGTCTCTTGCTTCGCCTAGAGATGCCGACAACAATGGAGCTAAACCGATGAAAATTTATGCACAAAAAGTCATACATAAGTCAATTGAATAAGTTGTTTAATATTTTTGTAATCACAGTACCTGGTTTTCTGTTATATTATGAAATCCTGGTGGATATGGTTTTTTAAGCATGGGAATTAAACAACAAATTTATTACCTTAAGCTTTTGTATTTAAGTTATTCTACATGATACAAATCTTGCTCCTTTAGCTGGGCGATATTGAAGATGCTCGATTTTGAGGTAATCATTAGCCGATAAATTTGAATCTTCGATTATTCATTTACTATTTTTTTGATTGATGAGGTGGTTATAATGATGAAACGGGAGCATCTCTGTATCATTGGCATAAAGATGGGATTTATTAAGTTAATTATATTTAAGCTTCTGCTTGTTATTCCTCTGTGGTTAACATGTACAATACCATGTTTTAATCTCCAACTGGACTTCTTGGTATAAAAACCATCTTTCATGTCTAATGAAGTTTTTATCCTTATTCATAGATAAATGTTACATATAGTGTATGCATATATATATGTGGATATTGGTCTACCTGAGTCTTTCTCCTGGCAACCCCTTAACAATAACAATATCGAAAGGCTCGGTAATTTTCTTTGTCACATATCGCCAATTCTTCTGTTTGATATCATATCGTTTCTTATAAAATCCAACAAGGTCCAAGGAAACTGGTAGGATATCTGAGTAGCACTTCACAGATTTTGCAACTTCGGAATCATCATTTACCGACCAACGTGAGTTATAAACATAAAATAATCTATCAACAAATGAAAGTCTGCCAAGGATCCAACGGCCTACTTTGTCTAGCTCAATGTATATCGGGAATAGAACGTGATCAACTTCAAACCATGGTTTGCCGCATATTTGTTTGTAACCCATTATATAATCAGAAATGAGGCTAGACACATCAATAACACTTTCAGAAGCATGCTCAATATACCTCAAATACAACGACTTGATCGTTTCATCAAAAAATGGATCGGTGGTTGTGTATCTCATAGCTACTTTCAAATTTGAATACAACCCGATCTTCCTCAAGTAGTAGAAAATAACTTCAATATGCTGTGAAATGGAATAAATAAATTAATAATATCAAAAATATGTAGTAAGAAACAAACAAGTATTGAAAATTTTAATATAATAGTAGGGACTAACACTGTATCCCGGCTCGAAGAGTGTATAAAACCATGCCTTATCACTAATTTGAGCCACATTAAAATCAAACCCTGGATCTATAGTTCCATGCTTCTTGTCATAAAAAATAACACTATGCAAAAACAAATATATAATTATAAACATAAGAATTAGTAACATTTAAAAAATAAATTATAAAAAATTAAATGCAAAAGAATTACCCATCTCGCTTCATATTAGGATGTTTTAGAAGACCCTTACGAATCCACAGCTCAAACTCTTCGTCATCATCCTCAAAAAAAGAGTCCAATGGACATGATCCGTGAATCCTATGTTTCGCAATCACTTCTGTACAAGACTTTTGGTTTTCAATTAACAAATGAGTTTTCATCTTCCTACCAATAAATAGTGAAGCAATTTTATTAATAAGTTACTGGTTTTGCAATCAATTTTATTAACAAATTTAAGCTTTTATTGAAGACAATTCGGTTGAAAAGAAGTTACTGATTTAAGTTTTTATTGCCTATAATGCAGTTGAAAGACTCTTTTCCCCGTAAATAATTATTTATTATTGTTTAGCACAATTTCCCTCAAAAAAATGCTAAAAACAGTTACTCTAACGGTCTCACCCCTGTAAGTTTGAGAAAAAAACAATTGAATGTATAATTTTGTTAAAAAGAAAAATAAAACATGAAGGTGGAGTCATTTCCACAAAAAATTTCGTATGGTTGCAGAAAAAAATATATCTGAATAAATATTCATTTGGGATCATTATTTTCTTATAAAAAATATTGTGATAATCCATCTATATTGGATTTAATTGCTTTCCTTGATATTTTACCATCATATTTGAACAAATATCTAAACAAAAATTTATTATGTTTGATGCGAGATTTAATTTTTCATCCTAACTTTTTAAATTTTCAACAACAATTAAAATATATTTATTTACAACTGATATCTTATTTATTAAGTCCAATCATGTATTCACACTAATCTAACAACAATTATCCATTTGCAATTAAAATTAATTACTATCACTTACTTACAACATAATAAACATCTTTGGCAGAGTTTTCTCTTTTCTCTTATTGGCGTGATTTTCTTCTTTTTCTTCGCCGAAAGTGTGGACTATGGCTTTTACATGTAGCTTCGTGCCTTCAGTAGCTTGGATGTCTGTAACGACCTTATCTTCCCTAGGGGTGGGCGCGGTCCAGGACGGTCCGGGATTTGACCATCCTGGTACCTGTCCCGGTTTTTTGAACCGATCTGGGACGAGACCCCGTCCCAAATGGATTGGTAACAATCGGGACCGGGACAAAACGGTTCGAGACTCCGGGACAAAAGTAAAAACAAAGCTACTGATAGTATGTTACTCTGTTTGCATTCAAAAATCAAAATCAAAGGGTACATAACATACTTCAAAAATCAAAAGTTCAAAATTAACTAATTCCATTCAAAATTATAAGCCTGCAACTAACTAGTGAATCCAAACATTCCAAAGTTCACTTACAGTTCACTTACATTCCAAAGCTGCAACCATTCAAATTTTCAAACATTCTAAAATCCAAAGTTCACTTACAGTCTTACACACTTACACCAAATAGTAAATTAAACATTGTCTTAAAACAAAAGGGTACAACTACGGAAGTATTTCACAAACATGAACCATACTTCAAAATTCAAACTGAAAGCAAAGTAGTCTAATTCAAATCAATAATCATCATAACCACCATCTTCAAAACCATCATCTTTATTTTCCAAGCTTTCCACATCAAACACCTTCTTCCCAACAGCCATTTGTGCATTGTAGAACTCTACAAAATGGAAAACAAAGTGAATTGTTACTTTATAGTTTAAAAGAACTCAAATTTTGAAACTAAAAATAACTTATAAAAGCAATAATCAAATTCTGAAACTGAAAGAAATCAAGAATGAAACTGAAAAACTATATAGTACCTATCTCAATATTTTCATAGAATTCTAACTCTTGAGTTGAAGGTTCATTCTCAAAGTCCATGATTATATTATCTCCTCTAAGCCAATTTTGCATGCAAATCAAGGCCTACGCAGATTTAGGAGTTAATGAACTCCTAAATGAATCAATTACTCTCCCTCATGTGCTAAAAGCACTCTCAGAAGCCACTATTGATACTTGAATAGCAAAAATGTCTTTGGCAAGTGCAGAGAGAACTGGATACCGGGAGGCTGCATTTTTCCACCATTGCAATATATCAAAGGATTTGTATTTCTCTATCACATCCTCAGCATCAAGATCATCACCTTTTTTATCCTTAATGGCTAACGAAGGATCTTTCAGATATGCATCAATCTCATGCTCTATAGTTGCCTCATCAGTTTCTGTGACATGTTTGGTCCAATCAACAACATATTTCAAGTTGTTGTTGCCTATATTAACCCTACTCCCAGCATTTGAATCACTTTCTTTCATTTTTTGTCTCTTCATATTGTTGTTGTTGCTGCTACTCACTGACTCTACACTTCTTTTATTCATACTTTTATCATTTTGTGCACTATACTCTTCAAACAACTCAAACAATAGTGCTTTGATCTCTTTTTCTTTCTTCTCAACCTCATAATCACTCCACATCAACTCAGCAGACAATAATATAGTGACATGCTTCATCTTAAACCTTGGATCCATCACAATTCCAACAAAAGTTGAAGGGTTCATATCCTTCAGTTGACCAAAGTATTTGTTATACTTGGTTTTCATGAGTGATGCAATGTCAGCCATTAATTTATGAGTTGCAGTAAGGGGGGAAAAACTGATTTGTTGTTCATAGCTGATTTCATGTTAACAATGTCATGAAAGGTAGTGTGAATGGTTGGGTGATTAGAGGCACTTACCCTAAGTGTGACATCATAAAAAACATGAAGAAAGCTTATAAAATGTTCACATGCATCCCAATCTGAATCCCTCGGTGGCCCAATTTTTTTTTTGTCCTTTTTCTGAACAATTACATTTCCATCCTCATCAAACTCCTCATCAGGCTCATTAAAGTATGCAAGATATGGGTTGTCCACCTCTTGTTCCATTCTTTTGAATGCTCTTTTGAGTTCCATTCTTGAAGGTCTCGTAGTAAAGGATGCTCGCATAGGCCCCGGTGTCGACCATGATGCGATGGATCTTTATCGCCATGATCGGCGCCGTGATCACCAAGGCGTCGGAGTGGGGGTGATCAAACAGGAAGACGTCCTCATCGGTGAAGGTGATGGTGTTTGGTATCGGCTCTAGCGCCGATCTTCTGTTGGCGTGCATCACCCTTTGCCCGACATGATAGGCTTGACGGACATAGGCCTTGGTTTGCCTCCTGCAGAGGAGGGACTCGCTCCGGCTTGTGTTGACGCGCCGGGTTAGAAGGTCGGCCGGGTCGGCCCCAGTGCGTGGGGACCGGTCTCTCTTTCTGCCCCTAGAGGTGCCGGCCTCATCTTGATGGGTGGGGCAGAAAGTCATGATTTCGTGGGGACCGCCCTGTTGTGGCTTCTTCCTCCGAGGATTCACGTCGGCATCCTCGTCGCTGTCTTGGCCTTCCCCAAAGCGGCCCCCCTTCTTCCTCTTGTCTCCGGAGTGGGTGAACCTCCGAAGCTGGGGGTCATCGATTAGTTTGAGCAATGCCGGGATCAAATTTCGGCACTGGTCAGTATTGTGCCCGTGCGCCTTATGATAGGAGCAGTAGCGGGTCTTATCCACCTTGTCCTTGTCGGTGAACATCGATTTGGGGTTCGGTAGCAACCCCTTGGCCTTGATCTCCTCGTAGACCGCCGCGGCTCCCACCGAGAAGACGCCTTGGTAGCTTTCTTTCAGTTCCTCAGCCCTTTGTCTCCGCTGAGCCCGGATTTCAGCGAACGACTTGCTCGGCTTCCCTGATTTTTCTTCCTTCGCCTTCGTTTTTGTTGGTGTCGGTGCTGCGTCGAATGTGGGGATGGAAGAGGATTCCTCCGCCATTATGTAATCTTGGGCGCAAGCGAGGAATTCCTGGTAGATGGTCGGCTTATTCTGGCACAGGGACCACCTAAACAGCGTTTTTGGTCTCAGACCACCCTGAGCAGTGATTAGCAGGGCGTCAGGATGGCACCGCTCCATATTTTGGACCCGGTCATTGAACCGGGCAATGTAGTCCTTGAGGCTCTCGTTCTCGCCCTGAACGATATTAGAGATTGACTCTTTGGGGGCGAGATTGACCTGCGATCCGATAAAGTGCGACCCAAACGCCGACCTGAGCTGGGCCCAGGTGGAAATGGAATGGGGGTAAAGAGAATGATACCACCTCTGCGCCTTTGGCCCCAACGTCAAGGAGAACATGCGGCAGCGCATGGCGTTAGAGGCGCCGTGCAGGTCCATCCATGAAGTGTACAGACCGATGTGGGAGTCAGGGTCCGAACTCCCATCATAGAGGCCGAGCTGGGGTACTTGAATCTGCTTCGGGACGGCCTCTCGTAGGATGTCGGGGGAAAGAGGCGAGGCGTGGTCCATGACCCGGGGAGTGGGTCGCGTGCGAGTCTGTGGATCGGCTGGGAGTGAAAACTCACTCCCGGTGGGCTGCTGACCTTTCAGTTCGGCAATTCTGCGTTTGAGGGCCGCGACTTCCTCAGTGTCGTGCCCTATGGCTTTGCCCCGCCTGATCACCTCCCGGAGATCGTGGTTGGCTTGGCTCTTGTCACCCAATCGCTGGTGGACAGAGCGGCGAACGACCTGGAGGCTTCGCTCCGGCTGGCTCTCCCCCGTCTGCTCGGTAGGAGCCGGTCTGGTGCTTTTGTCACGGCGGTTCTGAGCCTCGCGGTTTGGTGACTGAGCCGTGGTTTTGGATTTCGTCGGGTTCTTTTGCCCCCCGGTCTCCTTCTCGGGAGTGTGGAGCAGGGTATTGCCGGGGTTCTCCGTGGGCACCATGGTGTTTGCCCCAGCGGTTTGACTGGCGAGGGCCTTGGCGAAGACCCCCTCGAGGGCTTTGAGGACATCAGGGTGCTGCAAGGCCGCAACAAAGGTAGGGACTGGTGGAACTGGGACTATGGGTCCCTGTTGAGCACGACGGGAGGTTTTCCCGTCGTTACGGCCACGAGGCTGGGAGCCGGACTGCTGGGTGGAGTCATCACGACTGGATGAAGGCATTTTGAGAAGTTTTTGGAAGTGGAAAGAGTGGGAAAAAGATGAGTGCGAAGTGGAGCTTCACAAGATCGAAAAATTGACACCAAGTAACTTATGGTGCCCTCCTTCTAGCGCCAAACTGTTGACGGACGTTTCCGGTCAACGGTTAAAAAGTTTAGTAACGAAAAGATAATAGGAAAGAGACAAAGAATTATGGTTTAATTACGATTTTATTAAGAGATCACGAGGTCGGCCTCTCGTACGAGGTCGGCACTTGCGATGTACTTACAGTTTCTTACACGAGTTTCTTACAAGTCTAGAGAGAGAAAGTATAGAAAAAGCTTTTACAGTTGAGGTTCAACAACCCCAAAATAAATGAAGTGAGCTGCTATTTTTAGTGGCCATAAATGTGACACTGTTCAGGCACTGTTCACCAGTCTTGTCGTACAGTGCTCTTGCAGAGCAGTTCGGCGCCTCCCTGACAGAATTTAATGCGATTTGAGGTTTTCCTCATCATTGCCTGACAGGCATTTAATGTGTACATGGGGGTCATTTAATGCTGGCAGACTTTATGTCTTGACTACGGGAGGTATGTCAGCAGGCTAGAATGTCCCGTCCAATCACCAATGATTACTCTCCAAGTGGCATTATTATACCATTATCGAGATCGGCATTCCTCATTGTAGAGGCCCGTTCTGAGACCCCAGGTCGGCACCTTTTCCTTGTTTGTTCCTCCAGCTCCGGGGAACCTTCCTCTAGGTCGTCACTCGTCAGGCCGGCACCGGAATTTTACTGTCGCAAACGCCGGGCTAACGGACGGATTCGTGTGGACGTCAAAGTCACAAAGTTTCGGAGTCCGGCTCGACACCTACGCACCGAACCGGAGATCCGGTTCGGCTTTCGAACTCGGGTGTCAACACCGAGTAATAGGGAAAAGCACACAATCAACTCCCCAAACTCGCCACACAAAAAATAAATAAATAAAATTACAATACTAATCAAAGTTCCTATTCTTCACAGCATAGAAATTGTGATTAGGTCCCTGCACTATATTAGAAATTATGAAAAATTGTGATTAGGTCCCTGTTTATTATCAAATTTCCAAAACGAAGCCCTAATGTTAATCTAATTTACAGTAACAACACCACAAAATCAAATTTCACAATCTGCAATCAAGATCCAAGAATCAAATTCACAATCTAAAATCACGAGCTTCACGAGCAGTTAATCTAATTTACAATAATAACACCACAAAATCAAAATTCACAATATGCAATCAAGATCCACAAATCAAATTTCACAATCTAAAATCAAGAGCTTCAGGAGTAAAACACCGGCAGCGGGACTCTGGAGAATAACAGTTCGTCGTTGAGGTGTATATCGACGACCGAGATAAGCTCCGTCGGCAGCGGGTGGGCGGTGCGACGGCCAGCGTCGGAGAGGAAGGGGATAATAAAGCTCGAGCTCTGCCGGGTTTGCCCTGGTGGTCCGACGAGGGACGGCGTTGGATTGTTGGAGTCGAGATTGCTCAGTCGAGTGGAGGCGGTGGACTGGTGGCGGCGAAGGAATTCTTGTGGCTGTGGCGTGGTGGACTTGTGGGGGCTACGGACGGGGAGGGTGGAGGCGAGATGGCTCAGTCGAGGGGAAGCACGGTGGACTGGTCGCGGCGGAGGAATTCCGGTGACTGCGGTGTGGTGCACTGGTGGCGGGCTGAATTTTGTGTGTGTGTGTGTGTGAGAGAGAGAAATACGGATTGTGTGAAAAATAAAGAGAGAGGATGATGAAATAGAAATCATGTAATTAATTGGTGAGTGGGTCCCACATAATATATGTGTTGACCAACTTACCCTTAATTATTGGTTAAATGCACATATTTGATTATAATATGATCAAATAATTACTAGAATGTCATTAATGATTGACCCTAGTTTGACTTCATCATACCCAGATATGATTGATCACATGGTCCAGATTCATTCTTATTTCTTTCCCAAAGAATTATTCTCATATGAATAAATATATATAAAAATATTCATAAAATAAATATTCATCCAATTAGTTCAATCATTGAGCTTGTAGCTTGGGCAATTTAGTGGTCGATGTTATATTTGGAATATTGAGGGTGACGGTTTAGCATATAAAATTTTTAAAAGTTTTTGCTCCCCTAATGTGGAAAATATTTTGACAAATATGAAATATTCATATAGAATGTGAATAATATAAAATGAAAATGATTCTGATATGATACAAAATTAACAAAATATTTATTGGTAGTTATTAATATTTAATAATTAAATAGTATTTTTGAGAGAATATATTCTAATTATAACTATTTCATAATTGTAAATTGTATTGATTGCAGTATGTAAAAATATTAAAATTAAATAAATACTACTTTTTGTCATTTTTATATATGTATGTAACAAGTTTAATAGGATAAATAATTTTGTAATGGCTGGGATCCGTGAGATCCAGTGACGCAAGCTCTGGAGATTGCTTAAATTTGAATCAGCAGTCGCTAGAAGAAAACGGAGGAGCGCAAATGACGGCCAGGTAGGGTTGGCGATTGACGGATAGCATCAATCTATCAAGAGTAATAGGTTGGGGAGAGGAGAAAGAGAGAGAGAGAGAGAGCGCCCGAGAGAGAGCATTTGGAGGAAAGAATAAACAAAAAATGGGTTGGGAGAAGGATTACGCCCATCGGATTCTGGCGACATGGTTAATAGGAGGGATGGTCGTCGGAGTTTCGTTGCTGGGTTTCCGTTTTGCTTTGCCGCCGCTGAGTATTAGCAATAAGAAGAAGAAGAGACCGATAAGGGTTTACATGGATGGCTGCTTCGACATGATGCATTATGGTCACTGTAATGCGCTCCGCCAAGCCCGAGCCCTCGGCGACCAATTAGTCGTCGGCATTGTTAGCGATGCCGAAATTATTGCCAACAAAGGGCCACCAGTTACTCCCCTCGACGAGAGGTAGTTCATAGATTTTTTTTTTTATTATTTTTTTTCTCTATTTTTCGTTATTCCATTCGGTAATTTTGTTCCCACTTTATTAATTCGCGCTGGATGTATAGTTCTTAGACTTGTTCCTATCAATTACACTACTGCTCAAAAGCTAGACATTGCATTCTTGTTTGATTCCAAATTCATCTCGTTTCTGCACTTCTAATTGCTTCAAACCCTGCACCATCTTACTACTCTGTCTTAAATGTTATATGAAATTATGCAGTGTATATGCTGGTTGGCAGGTTCTAGCAAGCCTCTGAATAGATTCAATTTCTTTTATACTAACAAGAACTATTACTTATGTCGTTTTATTATTTCTGTATTAGGCATTAGGTATACCTATCTTTTCCACTATGTTTGATGGAGATTATTAACGAATTTTGCAAGATGTACAATAGAGAACTGTAACTCAGCTTTGTTGCAATAAATAATGCTTTTGTGTTGTTCTTATTTCTATCATAGGATGATCATGGTCAGTGCTGTAAAATGGGTGGATGAAGTTATTTCTGATGCTCCCTATGCTATCACAGAAGATTTCATGAGAAAGCTATTTGATGAATACAATATTGATTACATCATCCATGGGGATGATCCGTGCGTTCTTCCAGATGGGACTGATGCCTATGCCCTTGCCAAGAAGGTTGGCCGTTATAAACAGATAAAGCGCACAGAGGGGGTATCAAGCACTGATATCGTTGGTATTGTCACTTCTGTACATTTAAATGAATATGATGTAATGAGAACTTTATTGTTTCCTTAAGTTCGGCTCTTAATGAAAAGGAAAAGGTTAACGGTCTATGTGTGTAACACCATGAACAGTTGATTATCAGCACCTGAGTGATTGCTTAGCCTTATTTTCTGCTTCTTTCTATTTTGAGCAATAAGTGTGGCAAAAATGTTAAGCAAATGAGACTCAATTTGAAGAGTGATTGGATCTGATTGTGGATGAAGATAGTTAACGGGATGTGATACTGATTAAATTGTAATTGAGGGTGAGTGTTGATTGGGAAATTGAGATGTGAATTGTGTATCTTTCTGTATTTTTCTAAGCAAGCACATGTTTGGGCAAACAGTATTGTAAGCGAAAATAGTACGAGTATTTAAACGCCTAGCATTCCCAAGTTATTTTAGCTTTTGGCTGATTTTTTTTTTCCAATCTAGAAACTTTATAGTAAAGTGATGGCAAATTAGTACATGTTGCCTTCCCAAACTTGAAATTGAAGCTTTCATTTGGCGACTTTATACACTAGGTCGTATGCTTCTCTGCGTTAGAGAGAGATCAACTGGAGACAAGCATAGCCACTCCTCTCTGCAGCGACAATTCAGCCATGGTCACAGTCAGAAATCCGAAGATGGTAGCTCTGGTAGTGGAACGCGGATATCCCATTTTCTGCCTACGTCACGTAGGATTGTTCAATTCTCCAATGGCAAGGTACATGCATTATGAACTCACAGCTTTAATAAAAAGTTTTGAATTTCCTATGTATTATTAATAGACATTCAGGTCCGCATACAAGGGTTGTATAGGTCCTCCAGTCCTTGAATTCCGACAGTGAGTAAATTCCCGGTTGTTCCTTGATTTAAAGTTTTGTTCCGTCTTTTCCTTCCCCTCCCCCACCCACTACCAAAAAAGGAAACAATGAAAACGAAAAAGAAAATATTATAGCATATGTATTCTGATCTGAGTGTGAGAAATCATTTTTCTGATCTTAATATCTTACCCAATTACACTTGAAATTTAACTATTACTTCCTTAATAATTTGCTTCATCATTAGGAATTTGGTCTGCATTCAATTCCTAGCTTGTAATTATTTTGTAGGTCAGGATGAATGACTGATCATTTTTCCTAGCCCTTTCTTATTTTTAGATGTTTATTCTGTGTGCGGCATAGCAGTAATAACATATATGTATCTCAATTGTCAAATAGTCATTATATTTTCGTGTGCTTCTTTTAGGGACCTGGACCTGATGCACGTATAGTTTACATAGATGGTGCCTTTGATCTTTTCCATGCTGGACATGTAGAGGTACTTGATGGTTTCTCTTGTTAAATTTATTGGATATATTCTCTTAAACAAATTGGAGTTGAAATTTATAGTCTACCGTGTATGCTTTGTTAGATTTGAGTCCGTTACTAATGTTCATTCCTTCTGCTTCTATTAATTATATTTTCACGCCTTTTTCTTGTTTATCCACATTCAGTACTATTGAATCATCTTGCAGTATGCGTGGATATAAAATCTGATGAATGTACCATTGCTCTGACATATTGTTTTGTTTTTACAATATGGCTCACTGTAGTATTTTTATGGTTTAAACAGATACTGAGGCTTGCACGAGGGCTGGGTGACTTTCTTCTTGTTGGCATCCATACTGATCAAACTGTCAGGTTTGACTCTATTGCTTTTGATAGTGTGTTGGTTTATACAATAATTATTTCCTACTCTTGTATGAGTCTGGTAGTGAGCTCAGCAGCTTGACAATTTTCCATTATGGTTTTGATTGCAGTTCAAATAGAGGAGCTCACCGCCCAATTATGAATCTTCATGAAAGAAGCTTAAGCGTTCTGGCATGCCGATATGCAGATGAGGTAATTATTGGTGCTCCATGGGAGGTGTCCAAAGATATGGTGAGTAGGAATCACATTATATTGCTGTTAAAGTTTCATAAGTATAAATTTTTGCCTTTTCCCTTATCTAGGAGTTGCTTCCTTGGCTTGTTTGTACTGTACGGATTTTTGTGAGGATTGATTAAGCGGTAGTATTCTCGTATTGTAATGTGGTTCATTATTTTCAAAACATGACGTATCAAAGCCTGAGGAAAGCATGATGTGTTTCAGAGTTGATGTTATTTAGCTTCTTGTTTTACTATATAATAAGGTTCAGCCTTTGCTAGTTCTTGACTTCATGTCACGATCATACTAACAAGAACAAAAACTGACGATCCAATAATCCCCATTTTCATTAAAATTGAACTTTGCTAAATGTTGGAATGCCATGCAAGCGTTTTGTAATTCTTGTTGTTGCAGATAACAACCTTCAACATCTCTTTGGTTGTGCATGGGAGTGTAGCTGAGGATAATGATTTTGAGAAGGTATGCTGTTTAATTATCATGGACGTGTATCATTAAGTTATCATATGGGTGCTCATCTTATCTACAATTTGCTAATTCAAACCGGGGTATCATATTCGCTAATTATGTAGGAGAAGCAGAGAAAATATTCTGTTCCAATCAGCCTTGGTATCTTTAAGCTACTGGAAAGTCCTCTGGAAATAACAACTAGCACTATAATCAAGAGGATTGTATCTAATCACGAGGCATACCAGGTTTCACCAATTTGATATTATCTTGAGACTTGAGAGTTCAGATATCTTTTTGAATTATTATTTGCTTCACTTGTTTTTTGTTAATTAGAAAAGAAAAAAAGAAAAAAAAACTGAACGAAAGGCGGTTATTTGCAGAGGCGAAATGAAAGGAAGGGTGAAAGTGAGAGAAGGTATTATGAAGATAAACAATTTGTGTCTGATGCCTGATTGACACTCAGAAAATCTTGAAGGTAAATGCATTGTACCTATTCTATTCCACGTCTGGCATATATCAGCAGGTGATTGTGGATCAAGTTTTACTTTCAGGTCTCAGTAGAGTTAGCAGCTGGATGCATTGTGAGCATTCTGAATAATAAAGTAGATCCTCACTATCAATGTTTTTTGTGTCCGGCTTTTACTTGGATTTGGTATTAGAAGCTGTAGAACAAAGAAAACATATTACCATGATGTAAGCAAGTGTATTTGACTTCTAATTATCCATTGGATGTATGTCCAGATGTTCTGTAGGCTCGGAGATTATATTTGCCATCAGTTTGCAGCTACATAGGGTGATAAACACGACTATTTCAGAATTTTGTTTTACTAAGGAGCAAGCACCTTTGTTGTGCCAGTGCCGTGCTCTGTTTATTTATTTCTTAGCTTTAGTTGCTCACAGATGTTGAGAAACCTATATTTTTTATGATTTCAGATTTTCCCGAGCAATGCGTTTTGAAGATAAAATTTCCCTACATATACGCTGTCTTCAATTTATACTTTATTGATATTTTACGAGTCATGAATATTGGAGTTTTTACTAGGTTTCTCATATTCTGTATTTTGAGATGAATATGATACTGTAACATCAAAATATTCTGTTGCGACCTCATAGTAGTCTCAAAATATTGATCCCATCAGGATATCTTCACGGTATATATTGAGGTTATACAGTGGCTTATATAATTTAGTCACTTTATAACACGGCTAGGCACAAATGTCGGTATTATAACTAGGTGTGGTTAAATTATCTATTGATTAAAAGTATATATTTGACTATAAAATCTCACGCTTAAACCTTTTTTGCCATTTACTTTTAAATATGGCTGCCTAACAAGATGTAGCGTGAAGACCTACAGAAAGACAATGGATCCCAAACCTTCACTGCAGTATACAAACAAAGACGATTCTCATCGCATTAGCAGTTCACCAAGTTGAAGTATAAACCTTCAATCGATCCCATATATTTTTCTGTGACATAATTTGCATAACAAAGTGCAATTCATAATGTATCCCCCACGCAATGGAATGAACACTTCTATTGAAAGAAATTAACTAATGTATACACAAAACTCCATAGACTTTGGACAAGAGATTGTATTCCCATTAAATTAGCAGTTGTTGAGCTGCAATAGAGTCACCAACATCAAAGTATAAAACTTGTATTGAAATTTGGACCCTTACACATCTTCCCGTGATAATTTGCATCAAATTTCGGCATGCATTTCCTTGTTTGTTGCATTGTGCTGTTGATACACTCCAAAATTTTGACCAAACATCTTACAGCACTCTCAAAATCTTTAATTAAACTAAAGTTACAACAGGTTGGCAAAGCATAGTCATGCAGATGAAATACTGCGACTACGTGCTACCAAAGGTCCAGGATACAACAAATACGACATTTGAATGATCTTATATCAATGACCTACTAAGAATACGATGTTGTTAATAAATATGCCACACAAGTATCATCAGCACACATGTAAATGGATAAAAATGAAACACAAATCACCTTCCCGTTGAGAAATTTTGTTAGAAGTCGAGCTTTTTGCAAATCTCCTTGTTAATGACAATGCTTCTTTTTTTACATACGTACTTGAATGGAGCTTTGGGGCACGTCTCAGCAATTCCAATGAGGCGTGGGGCAGATTCGGGAGTATGAACCTCAACTTCAACTTCGACCTGTTTTGTGGTCTGCTGCTCTGAAACAATAGCATCCATAACAGTGCTGTAGACAATCTCTTCAAGAAAACATTCGATGCTTTTTTCATCCGTATTAGATTCATGGCCCAAAGTATCTTGGAGAAAATCTGCAAAATTGAGACTTCGAACAACATGTGTGCGGGATTCTTGCCTATATTTCATCGGTGGCTGAGGAGCTAGCATCAACTTATCAGGGCCCGGAGCAAACGAATCAAATAAGGCATCTGTTGGGGTTTCTGAGCTGCGGCTATGGATCGAAAATTCATTCGTATCTTCGGGAGTTGGTGGCACTACACTACAAGTCGATCTGTAGTTTGGTGGCGGTGTACACGGCACTACTACCACATTGTTGTTATTTACTCGCTCGGCTAATTCGGAAATGGAATTCTTTTCGAATTTATTACACGCATTTGCCTCACTACCCATGACTCAGGATAAGACCTAACCTAGTTAGACAAACAACATTTCAATTTTCAACTAAAGTACTAAACCCAAGCAGACAAAAGATTAAAACGGTTGATAAGTTAAGCCTGCAAGCTACAGCTCTGCCACCATATAAAAAACTCGGGAGAATGTCTATATATAAACAGATAATACGAAATGTAGATTGCTTGATTGATGAGTGAGCAAACTATAATTAATAGGAATTAAAAGAGTGAATCAATAGAGAAAATGAAAGCCCTAATCCAATTGGAATAATAAAAAAAGGGATTACTGTAGTCAATGAAGAAACTGAGGAAAGTAAAGAAGGAAAGTGTACCTTTTAGGGTGTTACGGAGGACTGATTGGTGAGCTTCAAAACAAAATTCAGTTGGAACTCTTCGATCCTTACACGTTTTCAACTCATTGCTATCTGTTTGTTGTTGTCTTCATGTTCGGTGTTCTGCAGCTTGCAAACGTCTTTTTACCGTTTTCGCCCTCGACTCTAGTCCGTATCTATATATAATATAATAAGAATAATTATTTATCAAATATAGCAACTAAAAAATCCAGGAATATCAATTGCATTTCTTTTTTGAAAAGTTTTATTCAAACTTGCTTTTATATATATTTTTTAAATTCTGGCAGCATTTAATGTCTGATTTTTTGGATTTTTTAAAAATCAAATTTCCAAATAGGTCAGCCAAATATCTAAATCTTAAAATTCGGGAATTAAAATTTCAAAATTAGCAAGCATCTAATTATTCCTTAAATGAAGGATTCCATAAATTTTTGGACACTATATTATAAGTTAAAGTGTATTATAATTTACCGTGTTATAATATTTCTCAATTAAACACAATTAATGTTAACATAATTTAAAAAATCTCGATTTTCATACTATACAATACTATTTTTTTTTTAACTTTATCTTATGAAAATGAAAACTCGAACATAGTCCAAAATTTGTCAATTTTTGACTAATTTTGGAAATAGGAAAAAAATGTATACATCCCATATTTGCATTCGACTTTTAAAACCCAAGCAATGTTCGTAACATATAATCTTGCTCCACCCTTACAGTGACTTTTGTGTGAAAAATAAAATAAAATAAAAAGTCAGATCTGAACATAAGCAAAAATTCATGTCGGATTTCAAGTGTTTTGGTAAAAACTTCCAAAAATTGAAGAAAAATCAAATATTAATAAAAGATTCGAACAAAATTTCATGATTCGAGCAAGATATCCATTTTTATTCTATAAATTCACGAAAATCGAACAAAACGTTTTGATTCTTCCCATTTCTACCAAAAATCGCGAAATAAACTTTGAGAACTGAACAAAAACTCGACAAATCATCTCTGAAATCCATGTTTTTCGAAAGAAAATTTCGCGATTCAGATTAAAAATTAAAAACGAAAACCAGATTTGTATTAATTTGTGAAATTCAAATAAAAAAAAAAAACAAATCCAAGAATTTGTTTGGTATTTGAAAAACAAGTGAAATTCGAACAAAAAACATAAGATCCACCGCTTTTACGTGATTTCTGGAAATAAGTATCATCAATTGAAAATAAAAATATAAGATTCACAAGGTTAATTTGTTAAATCGTTCTTCAGAATCGAACGAAACAAAGTTGAGGGAAAACGAGAAATGTGCACACGGTGGATCTTATGAAAACCCTAAAAACTCAGGAAAATTTATCATTTATAAATAGGTGAATGGATTGTTAACGATCGTTCGATCATTTGACCGATTTAGATCATCACCAATTTCGTGCATGTGGGCCGTGTTAGTATATATACTGAAATATTGGTTTTTTGCGTTATTTAAACTATTTTCTCTGTTGAATGAGAATTACGTTTAACATAGAACATTTTAGATACATTTTACACATGTTATATGTTACCCTATATCATAAATTTATAATTATTATTTAATAATATTTAACAGTATTTTTAATTTATAATTATTAGTTACTATTGTTTACTCTCCTCTTTAATTTAATTTATAATTATTAATTGATATTGTTTACCCATGTATCGCACGGGCTACGCACTAGTTAGTAATTATTGAGTGCAATAGAAATATGTTCGTGAAAATAAATTATATTAGCACGGCACAAAATGGAATCTTCAATAGATAGATAGGGTGTATTCATTTAGATTTTTATAAATTTATTGGGACTTTAAGAATTTTTGTACTATTTAATTTATTTTTTTAAGATTCTTAAAAGTTATGAGTATTAATTTGAGATTTAAAAAAGTAATAACAAATCACGAATTATTTAAATAACTTGACATTTACTGACTCGAAAACCCTTCCCCCAATTCTGCGACACCCGCCTCCCAAAATTCGATTTGTTCGCCTGGCCCACTCCCGGTGCAGCGTGCTTTCGATGTAGCCGTGGATTGCTTGGGGTGCGATGGTTCGGTCTGTGGTCGTTGATGGGATCTCGGTGGGAGGTGGCGACTCGCCCGACCGTCGTCCGGCTGACGATTGGAGGCTCTTTCTTTGATTGCCGGTGGTGCTCTGGTTCGTAGTGTTTTGCACTTTCTTTGATTGCCGGTGGTGCTATGGTTCGTAGTGTTTTAACTAATTCATATCAGACTAGAATTTGTGGCTGCTGGGTTGTGGCTCTTTGCGCGGGGTTTTCACCGTTTCGGGTGGGGCTTTGCCGTTGGCCTTCGGTAATTTGTGGTGGTGTCGGGGGTTGCGGGAGCCGATTGGGGCGAGATCCCGGTTGTTGTGTCGGTCTGGTGCGCAGTTGGGGTTGAGGGCCCGGGCCACTCACGCTTTTCCTTGGTCTGGTGTTAGGCGGCGGGGGATTTATCGAGCTTGGCTAGTGGTGTTAGACGAGTTCGGTGGGGCTGGCGTGGGGGCTGCTTGGGGCTCTCTCAGTTAGAGATGGGTCGTTGACCTCAGTTTGGCCCGAGTGTAGCCTTTGTTCTCATATTGGGAGATTACACCCAGGTATTACCCTGTTGGGGTCTTTTGATTTATGTATTTTTTCATTGTGGTTTAGTTTGGTGTTGGTGTTGTAGTGTGTTGGTCGTTCTAACTTTGCTAGTTGGTATTCCATCTAGGTTACATTAGTTGTGTGTGCAACCTTCCATTTCTCCGGCTTCGGGCTGGCCTGTGTACATTGCCTTTTTGGCTTTTTTTTTTATATGAGAATGTTTATGCCGTTTGAAATAAAAAAAGCTTGACATTTACTAAAACTTTTTGAGATTTGCTGAGATTTCATAAACAAATACCTTATATAAAATTTACCCCCAAATCCCACCTCAGACTTAGAGATTTATTCTGTTGAGATTTTTAAATATTTGTTGAGACTTTAAAAATGATATTGTAATTAATTTAAATTTTTTTAATACTTTCAAAAGTCCCGAGGGATACATTTGAGATTTTAGAAGTGTTAACAAATCACGAGGTATTTTTAACTTATTTAAAATTGTATTCCAAATACCACCTCTAAACTTGAGATTTCCAATTATTTATCTTAAATTCTCAAAATATTAAAATCTCATACCTAAAAATGTCTTTTAAAATCTCAAAATTTTAAAAGTCTCAAATCTCAAAAAATTTTAAAATATCTTTTAAACTTTACCGAACCATAAAACTAGTCACAATATATATATATACATATATATATATATATTTATATTTATAATATGTAATATCATATTTATACATTTCACTAGTCTGTACTATATATTATGCAATTCATTAGCCAACTATTTTGTTTGTTCATTAAAAAATAAAAATCCCGGAATGGTTTTGCGACCATTTGGTTTTGAATAATTAATAAAAATTAGTATTAAAATTAGATATTTGACAGGTGGAAAAATGTAAATGGGTACTTGTACAACTTTTGACTCGAGTCACACTCCACTCAAGCTCAATCAGTCTACCAAACCCCATTTCCCGTCGGCAAATTGCGCTATCTGCATCGCAATTTTCCTTTTCATCTTGCAGAAGGCGGAGCTACGGATCACATGGAGGTTGGGGTCTTCATGAATTAGCTTCTTTAATTATTTACTTTTTGTCCACTCTTTTCTTTTCATTAAAGGTGTAATAGAATCGATGCCCTTATTATCTGGCAAACAATGGTTTGAGTTTCTTTTAGATGAAAAAGCTTGTAAAAAAAGAGCCTTCCAACGGTTACTACGAGTTTCCCTTTCTCTATCCGCCCGGAAATGAATTCTCTCGCACCCTTTTTCTTCGTCAATAACAGTGGCAATTTGGGGCTGGATTGAGAACTATGATACGATTTGTTTTTATTTTGGTGTTGTTTTCTGTGTTAATGGCATTTCCTTGTTATTCAGTAAGTGATGAGGCACGTGCGCTTGACAGTCTTCTCCAAGAGTACGCAGTCCGAGCATTTCCGGGTCCAAGGACGAAAACTGGCATTGCTTATAATGGATTTGCCCCATCGAACCTCACTGGGATTGAGGTCTCAGCAATGAGGCTTAGAAGTGGTAGCTTGAGATCGAGAGGGGTTCGTATGTACAGAGAATTTGAAATCCCAATTGGAGTCCTTGAGCAGCCATATGTTGAAAGGCTTGTTTTGGTCTATCATAATTTTCGAAATTGGTCCGTTACGTATTATCCTCCTCCTCCCGGTTACACTTACTTGGCTCCCGTATTGGGTCTTCTTGCGTACAATGCTTCTGAATTAGCAATGGCTCAAAGGAACTTTTTGTTGCCCGAGCTTCTTCGTATTCGTGCATCTCATCAGCCCATATCGATCAACTTCTCAGCGGCTGCAGTGGGTTCGAATCGAATGGCGAAAAAATGTGTTTTGTTTGATGTGAATGGGTCGGTCAAGTTAAGCGATGTGTCGTCAGGCAATATCTGCAAAACATTCCAACAGGGCCATTTTTCTATTGTGGTTGAAGAGAATAGTAGTAACAGTAACAGTAAGAAGAGTAGTAGTTCAAGAAGGAAGGTGTGGAGGAGGATTATTATCATTGTTGGGTCAATTGTGGGAGGATTTGCACTGC